ATGAGCAACTTCTTCATGAACTTATCTCCACAGGCAAGGGAAACAAAAGTAAAAATGAACAAGTGGGACTATATCAAACTAAAAAGCTACTGTATAGCAAAGGACACCATCAATAGAACAAAAAGGCGTCCTACAGTATGGGAGAATATATTCATAAATTACATATCCAATAAGGCGTTGACACACAAAATACATAAGGAGCTCATGCACCTCAACAAACAAAAAGCAAGTAACCCAATTTAAAAATGGGCAGAGGATCTGAACAGATACTTCTCCAAAGAAATTCAGATGGTCAACAGATACACAAAAAGATGCTCCACATCACTAATCATCAGAGAAATGCAAATTAAATCCACAATGAGATATCATCTCACAGCAGTTAGGATGGCCACCATCCAAAAGACAAACAACAACAAATGCTGGCAAGGATGTGGAGAAAGGGGAACCCTCCTACACTGCTGGTGGGAATGTAAATTAGTTCAACCATTGTGGAAAGCAGTATGGAGTTTCCTCAAAAAAACTAAAAATAGAAATATCATTTGACACAGGAATTCCACTCCTAGGAATTTACCCTAAGAATGCAGGAGACCAGTTTGATAAAGATATACACAACCCTATGTTTATTGCAGCACTTTTTACAATAGCCAAGAAATGGAAGCAACCTAAGTGTCCATCAGTAGATGAATGGATAAAGATGATGTGGTACATATACACATTCAGCCCTAAGAAGAAAACAAATCCTACCATTTGCAATAACATGGATGGAGCTAGAGGGTAATATGCTCAGTGAAATAAGCCAGGCAGAGAAAGACAAGTATCAAATGATTTCACTCATCTATGGAGTATAAGAACAAAGAAAAAACTGAAGGAACAAAACAGCAGCAGAATCACAGAACCCAACAATGGACTAACAGTTACCAAAGGGAAAGGGACTGGAGAGGATAGGTAGGAAGGGAGGGATAAGGGGGAAAAGGGGCATTATGATTAGCACATATAATGTAGGGGGCTGGGGGGGAGTTTAGGGAAGGCACTATAGCAGAGAGAAGACAAGTAGTGATTCTATAGCATTTTACTACGCTGATGGACAGTGACTGTAATGGGGTATGTGGTGGGGACTTGATAATGGGGGGAATCTAGTAACCACAATGTTGTTCATGTAAATGTGTATTAATGATACAAAAAAAACCACCTAAAAAACATTAAACAAGCTTAATGAACTCCAAGAAAGATGAAGTCAAGGGCTTACCCAACACACGTTATAATCAAACTTTCAAAAGACAAAGAGGTAATTTTGAAAGCAGCAAGAGAGTGGTGAATTGTCACATACAAGGGCTCCTCAATAAAATTAGATTTCTCATCAGAAACTTTTGGAAGCCAGAAGGCAATGGGCCAATCTATTCAAAGTGCTGGAAGAAAAAAAAATGTCAACCAAGAATCCTATATCTGATGAACTGTATTTCCAAGAATGAGTGAGAAATTAAGGCATTCTGAGATAAATAAAAGCTAAGGGAGTTCATTACCATTAGGAAGAAATGCTTAAGGGAGTCGTACAGGATGAAATGAAAGGACATTTGACAGAAATTCAAAGCCATGTGAAAAAAAAAGATCTCCATTAGGGTAAATACAGGGGCAATTACAAGAACTAGTACTATTGTAACAATGACTCTAACTCCTCTTTTACTTTAATACATCATTTAAGAGACTGACGTATTTCCAAAAACTATTAGTCTAAAAGATGGTATTACTGTAACTTTGGTATGTAACTCTACATGTTGTTTTCTACATAATTTAAGAGATGGATGCATTTAGAAGAATTATTAGTGTGTATTTTGGGGCACACAATATATAAAGATGGAATTTATGACATCAACAACCAAAAGGGGTGGGGATGGAAGTAAAGGGGCAGAGTTCTGTGTGTTACAGAAGTTACACTAATAAAAATTCAGATTAGTATTATAACTAGGATATTAAATGCAATCCCGATGGTAACCACAAAGAAAAGAGCTATAGACTATACATAGAAGGAAATGAGAAAGGAATTTAAACATTTCATTATAAATCAACTAAACACAGAAGATGACAGTAATGCAGGAAATAAGGACAAAAAAGCTAAAAAGCAAGTAAGAGCAAAATGACAGAAGTAAATCACTCCTTATCAGTAATTACTTTAAATGTAAACAGATTACTCTCCAATCAAAAGATAGAAACTGGTAGAATGGACAAGAACACAAAATCCAACTATATGCTGTCTCTAAGAGACTCACTGTAGAATCCAAAGACAAAAATAGATGGAAAGTGAAAGGATGGAAACAGATAATCCACACAAATAGTAACCAAAAGAGAGCATGGATTGCTATACCAATATCAGATAAAACAACTTTAAATCAAAAAAGGCCACATGAGAAAAAGGAGGACATTATATATCAATATCAATAAAAGGTTCAATACAGCAAGGTGTAACAATTATCAATATTTATGCACCTAATAACAGACTGAAAACATGAAGCAAAAACTGACACAACTGACAGGAGAAATAAAATGCTCTACAGTAATAGTTGGAGACTTAAATACCTCACTGTTAATAATGGACAGAACCACCAGGCAGAACTAAGGAAATAGAGGACTTAATACAATAAACCAGCTAGGTCTAACAAACATATACAGAACACTCTACTTAACAAGAATATACATGTTCTTCCCAAGAGCACTTGGGGTATTTTCCAGAATGGACCCTATGTTAGGCTACACATTAAGTCTCAATGGATTTTAAACAATAGATATCATACAAGGTTATCTTCAACCACAATAGGATGAAGTTAGAAAATCAGTAACAGAAGCAAAACTGAAAATTCTCAAACTTGCGGAAATCAATAAGTACACTCTTAAACAACCAATGGATCAAAGAAGAAATCACAAGGGAAATGAGAAATACTTAGAGATGAATGAAAAGGAAAACACAGCCTATCAAAACTTACAGAATATACAGCAAAAGTAGCATTTAAGGAGAAATTTATACTATAAACAAACACATTTAAAAACAAGATCTCAAATCAACAATCTAACTTTACAATGTAAAGACATATATACAAAAAGCACAAACCTAAAGCTAACAGAAATAAAGATTAGAGATGAAAGATTTATATAATGAAAACTACAAAACATTGCTAAAAGAAACTAAAGAAGATAAAAATAAATGTAAACACATCTCATGTTCATGGACTAAAAAGGCTTAATATTGTTAAGATTTCAATATGTCCTAAAGGGAGCTACAGATTCAAAGCAATCCATTATCAAAACCTCCATTTTTTTTCTTCTTTTTTGCAGAAACAGAAAATTCCATCCTAAAATTTGTATGGAATCTCAAGGGACCCTGAATAGACAAAACTCTCTTGAAATAATAAAATAAAAGAACAAGGCTGGAGGACTCATACCTGACTTCAAAACTTACTACAAAGCTACAGTAATTTTAAGTGTGGTACTGGCATTAAGATAAACATGAAGACCAATGGAACAGAGAACCCAGAAATCATATAAAGTCAAGTGATTTTTGTAAAGGATGTTAAGACCACTTAATGGGGAAAATATAGTCTTTTCAACAAAAAGTGCTGGGAAAAATGGGTATCTACATGAAGTTACACCCTTATCTAACACCACATCCAAGAAGTAACCAAAATGTGTCAGAGACTTAAATGTAAAACCTAAAACTATACAACTCTTAGAAGAAAACAGAAGGTAAGAGCTTTGTGACACTGGATTTGGCAATGATTTCTTGGATGTGATACCAAAGGCATAGGCAACGAAAGAAAAAATTGGCAAAATACCACTGAACTATATACACTTAAAGATAACTGAGACAGTGATTTATATGTGTATTTTACCATACACAAAAAAATTCTATTTTAGAGAGTATGTATCAGGAAGGTAACAAAAAAGAAGTGACAAAGGGAAAGGCAAAGAGAGAAAGAAGCTAAAGAGTTACTAAAATAGAAAGTTTAGTGTGTGACACATTGAGGATACTCAATAAATTCAGCTAATACTAAATACCTCCTATATGCCAGGTGCTGAATGAGGCCCTTGTATGATGTAATTTATGGAATGAATAAGTCATCGAAATCAAACAGACACTGAGGGTTTCAAGTTAGGCAGCATGTTCAATTTAGGTAAGGTAGGTAATGAAAGAAGCAAAGATGACAGATGATTTCTACTGTATTAAAAGACACAGAAATAAAGATTTCATAAAAAGAAAAATGCAAGCTGACTAGGGATCTTGAGAACATGGGAAGACCAAATATGTGAAATAGCTAGGATAATGGTTAAAAGAAGCCACTCAGGATAGAAAAGAGAGGACTTTCTAGCATGACATGTTAAACTAAGATAATATACAGAAGTCAACTTGGAGATAAAAAGTGCAGGCAAGAAATTAAAATGAAAAACTTGGGTATTAAAGACTTACAAAATGGAAATGTGAGAAAAGAAGGCATTGCAACCAGAGTAAAAGAGATGGCTACAGAGGTGAAGAGTAAAGGAAGAAAATGAGATGAAAAATATCGAGCATAAATTTTGAGGATGGAGTAAAACATGGATGAGACTATTTACCATCATCTCTACTCTTCAAGTAAACTCTGAACTTCAATCTTAACATTCCTAGACAATGTATGATATGTTTTCACTGAAAGTCTATACAAATTTAAACTGACAACTTCATAGCCATATTCTTATAAAAATGTATCTTTAAGACATTTAATTCTTGTTCTATAACTTAAAGCCAAGGAAAAGTCCATTGTAAACATAAAATCATATAAATCATGACAGAAAAGCATACTTGCTTTATCTCAATTTTTCTAAGATACACCTTAAATACATAAATTTATTTCAATTTATTTATTAGAAGTAAGAATATGTAAATGGTCACTGTCACCATTAACATCAAGTTGCTCAGACAGTTACTGACTTTCGTATGAATGAGAAAAAGCAAATCAAGAAGATAACTAAACCCATACCTGTTCCAATGTGTTGGTTAGGTTTTGTTGGATGCATGGCACCATGACAGACATTTTGCTGAACATTACTCTGTGAGTGGATAAGGCCAGTTTGTGTAAAGAACTGATTAAGAGAAGAACAGAGATCAGCAAATTGAACCTGATCTAAAGACCAGTTCTTGAGATCTGCCTGTCTCATGCTCTCCATCAAACCTATGAGGAAAGCATTAGAAATATAGTTAGCATAGTTGTACAAACATTGCAAGGAAGAACAAGACAATTTTTTTTCAGCCCTCAAAATTTCTATAAGTAATGATGTGCCCATGCAATGAAGAATGACATTTTAAAACTATTCAAAGTCTGATTCTTTTAAATGTGGCCGAATTTCTTTCAAAACTCTTGTCATGTCTCTCTGCTACATCAACTGGCCTTATAGATTTTGCAAATTGCTGTTTTTAAGCGTACTAACAACTGCAAAAGCAACTACATATATGTTTACTTGTACTGCAAGGAAACTTATAATCAGAGAAAACAGAATCATGTCTATTTGGTTCTATGTCAAAAAGAACCAACACTCACCTTGGAATTGTGAAAGGTCTACATCTGACCAATTAACACTGCTGGCAATTCGACAGCTTTCTTTTAGCATATCAAGTGTTGCATACCAATCATTTGAAACACCTATAAAAACAACATTGACAGTATTATAAATCTTGGACAGTGAAAGTCTGAAGTATACGGTAAGGAAAGACAACGAGTTGGTCTTATTCCTGATACTGGCAGATCTCTATCCAGTTTCACAAATGGATTCACACCTACATCATGTGTTGGGGCAATCTGTTCCCTGAGATAGACAGGAAGGATATTCTTTCTTTTCATTTGACAAAAGACATTGAACCCACAGAGGTCGCATAACTTAGCAAGGTCACTATGATGAATCTAAGACTTGAACCCAGGGTTTCTAAGCTCTAGTCTGGCAACTTGGAAATTGTCACTATTGCCTCATAATGTCAAACTTAATGATGTCAGAGCTCTTGCACAATACAAATAAATGGCCAGGCAGGGCAAGTCACACAAATCAGTAATTCCCCCCTATATAAAGTTCATTTTCCTACTTTATTATGACCTTAAGAGGTATGTTCTTTATACTTAGAGGCAGATTCACATTTAAAAGAAATACAGAATACATCATAAAGCACTAACTTAAGGGAGGTAAATTAGATTGTGTAGAAAGATAATTCTTAATAGGCAACCTCAGGAGAGAAAAATGCTTTAACACAGTCCTGTCAAGCAAGAGGGCTGAGACATTTTAAAGAAATGCTCATCTAAACTAGGGCATTTCTAGTCAGAAACAGTAACATCAGGGGAGTTAAGACTCCATAGTCTGTATGTCAGCAGAATGGTCACCACTCATGCACATGGGGCAAGAATACTCAATGTACTCAATGAGATAGTGAACAGAGGAAGAAAATACTCCATTCAGTGATTGCTGCCCAAATTACTGTTTCCAGGATCACCCCTGGATTAAAATAAGAACTAATAAAAAGGATTTTTCCTACATCGCAGGCAACTCTGTATCAACTACTGAATACTTGGATTTACAAAATTCTGCCAATTAAATGCATTTTTAAAAATAAGCAGTGAACCACAGACAACCAAACCCTGGCCCTCAGGCAACTCTTGTTGAGGGAGAAATTTGTTGGAAAAAATTAATGTTCCAAGTAGATACAAACATTCAAGTCTATCAGACTTTCAGATCCTGTAATAAATTCTGACTTGGCAACAACAAAATAGTAACATTCTCTGCAGAGAGAGTGGCTGAGAAAACCTTACTCATGCAGTAAATGTTTGCTGATTTTAGAGTAACTGGTGTTATAGGCTTTGAAGTTTGACAGGCTAGGATATAACATCCAGTTTTACCACTTAGTAGTATAAACTTGAACACACTGCTTCACTTGAGTTACACTTTTCCTATCTACTAAATGTGGTAATTTATTCTTGATTTGGTAGGATAAAATGGGTAATACATCTAAACTGCCTAGCAAATAATGAGTACTCAAACAACTGTTAGACCCCTACATTTCTTCTCTGTTAAAGACAACCAGCTTAGTTTCACCATATAAGTGAGAAATTTATAATTTAAAGAGATTATCATCATAGCCATAATGATTATTTCTAACTCCCCAAGATGGGAGTCTATTTTCCTTCTCTGGAAAGCCACCATTGCTATGACAGGCCATTAAAGGCACATTACAGATTGTTTTCAGCTACAATAATACTTTTTTTCCCCTGGCAATTATTACACTTAACAAAAAGAATTGTATGGCCAGAGCATCACTGACTTCTACTGATACCCTACCTCTATAATTATTAGTCAATCCTCAAAATCATGTTAAGAAAAAACAAATTTCTGAAGAAGTACTGACATTAAAATATAGGCAACAGTGACTGACAATGAGTTACAAAGGGAGCTATAATATATACCTTTTCTCCAGTTATAAATCTAAAAATAGTTTTAACATGTTTTAGGAGATATTTCATCAAGGCAGTAACTATACTCAATTTTCAACTTTACTCTGGAACCTACTAAGAATTAGTAACTGGGAAAACAAGTGAATTGTTCAAAGGAACTTAATAAATTCCAAGTAACCTGCTATGCATTTTTGTACTTTACCTCATTTAATTCTCCCAAAAAACTTAATTATTTTTTCTACTTCGTAAATAAGGAAACAGGTTTCATAAAAATTTTAAATATAGAAAAGTCAGAATATAAGAGACAGTATGTACTAACTGAAGCTCATTTTTCTGACATAGTGTAAATGACTGAAATAATGGTCATTCTCTAATTGGTAAAAGCTAGTAGTATCTAGCATTTAGAAATTATCCCTCCAGGATAAAAGTCTCATCAGTGATATGGCTGGTAAGTGGACAGTCAGGCATGCTGAAGGAAGGACCTATACTCTGCACAACCCCAGGGAGCCCATTCACCTCACAGTCTATATCTGTGGCACCCTTTGGAGTCTACTGCGCTAAAGACTGCCTGGTCTGTGAGCAATGTGTTAGGCATCTCACCAGAAACCACCAAGACCTATCTTAAGAGCAATACATTTTTTAGAGCAATGATTTTTAAAAATCAGTATACAAACAATGTTTTCTTACTTTGCAATCTATCAGTCTAAAATGAGATACTTGGCAGGAATAAGCAAAGAAAGGAAGAGTGGGGAACATTCACTGAATACTTAAATGTGAGGCGTTAGACCAGGTATTTCATACTTGTGTTCTCAATATGGTCCTTGTAATGATGCTGTATACCAGGGTATTTTAGTTACATTTTTAAACATGAGAAAATAACAAGTCCAAAAGAAGTCAGGTCCTAAGAACTGTAATGAAGATTCAAATATAGGTCTTTCTGACATGAATCTATATTCCTTCTTCTATACCACACCAAATCACAACAGACTGCAGAAAGACTGTATATTCCATTCTTCTTTTAAATCATCACAAAAACACTTATTTTTCAGAAGGACAAGACACAGGTTGAAACCAAATCTTGCAAGGTTTGCCATGTTTGTCTATGTGCCACAATAAATTTTAATCAAAAAAATCTCAAGGTCAATCTATGGATTGAATGAGTTACAACTATAAGATTTTTGCAAGGAAACACAAAAGGAGACAGGTAAGAAGCATTTTGGTAGAAAATACATATAAACCCCAGAGAACAAAGGACAGATCCTAATTCACAGTTAACCAAATACAAGTCAGGAGACAGAAACTTACCAGAATTACAGGATACCTGCTGTGGGGGTGGGGGCGCCTGATGTGCTAACGTCTGATGCTGATGGTTCGGGTGGTGCTGTATGTGCTGATGTGGAGAGGGGTGAGAGGGGTGAGGGGACTGGAGCTGGCTGTGTTGCTGCGGGTGCGGGGCTGGGGGCTGGGGGCGCTGCGGATGCTGTGGTAAACCGTGCGGTCGATGGGGTGGATGTGAAGATGGCTGTGTGTGCATCTGGGGGTGGGATAACGAGACTTGTGCAACTGAATTACTGCCTGTGGTGTTGAGGCCACTGCCATGACTGTTGGAGAGGCTGCTTTGGTTGCTGTGTGGGTGAGAGCTCACTGTACTGCTAGGAGAGTGCTGATAGGAACATGAAGTATGGGATTGCTGGGAAGATTCAGAAGGGATGTTCATCAAACCTAAAAACAGTCAGAGGAAGCAAGATCATTTATGGTCAGATTTCAGTTATATTTTATGACAAACATTTACAAAAATATTTACAGTGCAAAGTATATACTGTTAAGCAGCAACTTTGGTTCAGTTTAACAAGTGGTGATGGAATGTCAGCCTGACATACACCAGACTCTGGGGTCACTGAGAAGAGTAACCATCCTTCTCTGCCCTCAGGTAGCTCATGGTCTTGTGTAAAACAGACACTCAAGGAGATTATGCCCAATAATTTTAAGTACTAGGCAAATGTAACTCTGCTTCCTGCCAGTTCAGCTAGGAAGGAGCTGGAGACATAAAGAAGCCTTCCTTGAAAAGGCAGTATCTGAGCTGACTCCTGAAAGATGCATAAATGTTAGGGGAAAGTGGGAAAGGTGTTGGGTCACCTTCAGGATAGTTCTCTATAGGCCTGAAAATCATGCCTGTAACAAAAAAGGGTGTAGAAATAAAGCCCAGTTATTAATGATCGTTTTCAATGACCACTCCAAAAAACTGAATGCCCAAGGTGGCTAGTCCTTAAGACTAAGCAAAACAAAGAGCCATCTCCATTGTTCTTTTCCATTCTTCTTATGGAACATTACCGATACACATACAGTTTTAGGGTTAAGACTGCATAATTTATAGCACCAGAAATTAGGGACTGAAGTCTGCAATCCCATTTACACACTTGGTAACTCTGGGAAGTTATTAACCTCTGCAAGTCACAATTACCTCAACTATAAATGACTACAATAATAGTACCTACTTCACAACTGCTGTGAGGATTAAATGCCATGGGGCAAGTGCAGGTTGCAGGATGAGATCAGTAAATGTTAGCCACTATGATGATGATGGTATCAGGCCAGAAGTGCCTAATGTTAAAAATAATGTATGTCTGGCTTGGAGTTAGACACATTTTAGTAAAACTTACTGCAGTATTTGGTTCTATACAACTAGGCTATTTTCACATCCCAAAGGATGGCTCACACATGAGTTTGCTGAACCAAACACAAAAAATTTTATTAAATAAAAAATAAAATCCTGCATCACAGTGTCAGTCAATAAAAGAATTAAACTCTTTAAATAAAATAAAAATAATTCTCCTACTTGTTATTAACAGTTAAATTATATTAGAGTATGTTCTAAGGTAATCTTAAAACCTAACAGGTTATGGTTTTATAGGTAGAAGAGTTAATAAAAGTTCTTGTTTTGGCCCTGGAAAACTATCATTTATAAGAAACTATAAGAATTACTACAGTAAGATTAAAGAAAGGAGTAATTTCATTATTTCCAACAGGATTTTAAGAGGGAAACCAGGTATGACCCATATCAGCATTTTCAATCCCAGTAAAATAAAGTTCTTTCAGAAGCCCAGTATATAAATGGTAAATGTGAAGCTGCTTTTTTTGAGGCCAGGGAAGTAAACATGCTAGATCTCCCTCTTCACCTGCACACTTCTCCTCACTGAGAACTTCACAGAAGCCTAGGGCTCTTAAGAGAACAATTTGAAAACCATCAATCTAGTCTAGTTTTCTTTACTGTATGAATGGGAACATGCTGAGGTCTAGAAAGGTGAAGGTAACTCAGCTGACTATATGGTAGAGCCTGGACTAGAACTTAGAATTCCTCTCAATGCTTTTTTTTAAATCAGTGTGATACTTCAGAAATTGTCACCATTGTTATTTTAAAGTCAGTACAGTAGACCCTTGACACACAGGGTTTAGGAGCAACAATCCACCGTGCATAGTCAAAAATCCACATACAACTTTTGACTCCCCCCAAAACCTAACTAGTAACAACCTATTATTAACCAAAACACTTAACTGCTAACATCTAGAGTCGATGAACATTTTGTATACGTATTATATTTACTGTATTTTCACAATAAAGTAAGCTACAGAAAAGAAGTTATTTCCAATTGTTGTAAATCTCCAAAAAAAATTTCCAATACATTTATTGGAAAAAAAAACACTGCATATAAGTGGATCCATGCAGTTTAAACCCGAGCTACTCAAAGATCAACTATATTTTTCTATTATGAATTTGCTGTGCGGAATTATATATTGGGTTTTTTTTTGTACTTTTACAGATAGAAAATTTTAAATAAAATCTGAGAAAATACATGAATCTTACTTTAAACCAGAAAACCAACTTCCTTACAAGTTATTGACATTCACTGATGTATGATGTATGTAATATTAAATTTCATAGTAATTGTTCATGATAAATATTAAAATGTAAAAAACAGGGATCTTTGTCTATTTTGTTTCACTGCTGTGAACAGGTATACTCTCTGAGTTGGGGTATAAATAGTTTACCTACCAAACAAAGCAGCTAGGCAATACTTCAATAATAAAGCTTCCAGCAATTTCTGACGACTGTTCTATAAGTGAAAGACAATGCAACATCTGATCCTATCACCTGACTCTGACTAAAATTAAACCAGCAGCCAATGGGACAGTACCACATAGTACCAACTAGGATTTTGGCTGAGATGTTTTTAATACTGTATCTCAACTAAAATCATTTAGTGTTAAAATCTGATGTAAATATGTTGTTTAAGACAATGAGCCAGAGCTTACCATTAACCAACGTGTTTGCTTTTAAGTACCATACATGAAATTGCAAATTTGGCACTACCATATTCCAATAGTTGTCTCTGCCACTACCAGTCTGAGAAAGGCAAAGCACCTCAACTCCTGTGGTGGATCATTTACAACTCAAACACTTCACAAGACCAGACATCACTAATTAACCATGGCAGTCTTTCCAACATGCACAGATGCAATGTCAGAATTCTTCACCACAGTGCTCCAGGACACCACTAGTAATCAAGTGAAGTAGGCATGCAAGACATTTATTTGCCATTCTTGTGCTAGGATATAAACATATACAGAGCACAGCGAAGGCACAAAGAGGATTCAATTCTCGTCATGATGATAATGTTCCGTAATTAAGAAGATAAAACCAGCTGCTACGTGAAAGCTATTCTTATAAGGTAAGTTTTCAATAAAAACATCCTTTACAAAAGAGTTATTTTTAAAAACTCACCTTGTTGACTAAGTGACTGCTCAAAAACTGATTTATAAAGGCTCCGAAATGAGGCACTGAGATCTTCAAAATTATATTCTGAGAAAAGTAGTTGTTTGTCTCGCTCTGGAAGGTTGTACTGTGGCTGCTGTTGAGGAGTTAATGACTGAGAGAGTGGTTCTGGGTGGTTTGTCACCTAATTTTAAAAGAAAATACTACTAATTTAGTATCTGTATATCAGAATTGGTAACATAAAATACATAACTGAAAATATTAGAATAGCTTCCAGGACCCCAAGGAAATAATTTCCTTGTCTTTGGCTCACCCATCCTCCGTTAAGTTAGGTTCACATAAAGGATGGACCCCAAAGATAACCTGGAACTTTAAGAACCATAGAAATCTAATCCAACCTCCACATCTCACAGAAGAGGGGAAAGAGTTCAAAGAAGTTAAATGACCTCCCCAAGATCATACAAAGTAAGTGATGAGCTAGGATAGAACTCTTCTAGTTTCTATAGAATCTTCACTTTGATGTCTACAGAAGCAGTTTCACCTCAAACTCCACCATACTATGAAACTACTGATTTCTCGTTCATTTATTCAATTAATTTTTAAGTACTTAAACTCCAAGTACTGTTGAGTCAGATTGTGCAGCACTTCCTAAAGCAGCAAGGAGCTTCAATAACCTAACTCTTCATTTCTAAGTGGAAGTTTTTCTTTTAATGAAAATGAGAGGGAATGAGAAATGAAAGGTAGAAGACAAAGGAGATTCTAAGAAAAATAGAGCAAGGCACCTTGAGCTCTGCAATGGTACTGAAAAGTACCATAAACACCTAAAAAATAAGATTATCTCCAAAGGCAGCACAACTAGAAATAAAATCAATAAAAAATAATCACTTAAACATTATACCAAGGGGTGGTAAACTACTATTTAGTGTTTTAAAAAATTAAGATATGAACATTCACTGTAAATATACGCAGCTATTCAAAATTATGCCTGTAAGGAGTTTGCAATAACATGGAAAAATTTTGTGTAGGGGGATGGCTCCACCACTGGCACTCTGGTGACCTTACACATCCCACATCCCCACAGACCACGTAGGTGAGGCCAAGGGCAGGAAGAACTAAGCCTCAGTGAATACCCTATGACTGTCCTAGAACATGGGATGATGAACAGTCTTACGAGAAGCAAATTCTCATCCACCATTTCTCATCTGCCTTCCTGTGTTGCCGGAGGCAGCCACAGGGCAGTTTCTCATTCACCTCTCTGTCTTGCAGGAGGTTGCCAGGAGACTCATTTCTTATCTGCCTCTCTTTCTAGTGAGGCAGAAGACTTTCTATCTCACTCCTTAAGGATACAGCTGCAAGTCATACAACTGCTTAGCTGTAGTATGGACTTTGCTCCTGGCTTCTTGTGGGAAGGTGACACCATGCTGGTCTGGCTTATACCATCTGCATAGGTAATAAAACTGTCTCAATGCATTTGGGCTGTGTCCTTACAGGCTCAATCTATGGATATGTAACAAGACAACCAGCAGCTGATGCTACAGTTGCTTGAAGAATGCTTGATGGGGGGGCTAAGGGAGGGAAAGGGGCATTATGATTAGCACACATAATGTGGGGGGTGGCACAGGGAAGGCAGTATAAAACAGAGAAGACAAGTAGTAATTCTATAGCATCTTACTATGCTGATGGACAGTGACTGTAATGGGGTATGTGGTGGGGACTTGATAATGGGGGGAGTCTAGTAACCATAATGTTGCTCATGTAATTATACATTAATGATACCAAAAAAAAGAATGCTTTATGGCCACTTGGTATCTCATTATTAAATGAAAAAAGGTTGCAATGGTTAGCTTTTATTAGGGGCACTTAGCCCTCTTATGTGTACTGGAATAACAGACACATTTGTTCTTCCTTCTGTCACCTAGTTTTATAAATGTTAATTCTTCCTCTACTATATTTTGTGATAATAAACCACATTTTCTTTGATTTCATTTGGTTTCAAGATTCAAATTTTTTTCAAGTAATTTAAAGTAATTAAATCTTTGTTTAATTTGCTTCAAAGCTCCAACTAGTCCTTTTATTATCATTACTTCATCATATGGAGTACTTATTCACCTCTTGTTTAGCTAAGTAATTTTTCTCATGAAAGCAAGGGTAGGATGCTAACTTCTGAATATCAAAGAGTATCTTTCTCTTGACTTCAATTATGAATGAAAATCTGGCTGGGCGTAGTATTTATAATTCCAAACCTATTCCCTCAAACTCTACATAAAGTGTGCCATTATTTCCTGTTGTTTAGTATTATCTGTCTTATCATATTATTCTGTCCGATCTTATTTTTCCTGAGTATATGGATGACTATTTCTAAAATTTTAAAGTTTGTCATTACATGTCTAGATACAGGTTTTTCCCATTAACTTTTCCTAGAACTCAGTAATCTTTTTAATCTCTGTTTCTTCTGAGAACCACCTCTTTACCAACTCTTCTGGTTTTTTTTCATGGACACTAATAATTCTCAATTCACCTTATCTATTGTCTTCTTTTCAATAACTGTTTTTCCTTTATCTGTTTCTTCTGCATTCTGGGAGACTCTTCTAGTTTTCTTTCCTTAGAGCACTGATAACAGTTTTGCAGAATCACTTTTTTCCCCCTACATTCAATGTGAATTTCAATTCTGCTCTGAATTTTTGTTTCCCTTTTTCACTGTCTTGTATCAATCCCCACTCCTTTGTATCTTTGTCCTGTGTAAATTTTTATCTGATTCTCATCTTGGAACAGCAAGTGATCTGCTGAGATCAAATTTATACCAAAGTGCGGTATATATGTCTCTTTGGCTCTGTTCTGTCTTCTAAGAAGGATAACTGCCAAATGATTTGAAAACAAGTATTACTAACACAAGGGTCATGTTCTTACAATAGGTAACAAAATCAGCACAAGAGCAAGAATACTCACACATAGGTCCTTTTTACAGCATAGCTTTGTTTTTCCAGACCAAAATTGAAGATACAAGAATGGTTAATAATGGGTACCAGGATATCCTAACCTTTGGAGTCTGTAGAGTACCCATCTCAGCTATGGCTAAAAATAAGGTGACATACACACCCACACCCTCAAAGCTCTTTTACCAAGGATGGTAAAATATCATCCAATACAGCTTTGCTAAATACCCTTTTTTTGTATTGCAAATACTTTTCACTTGACACAGAACAGATGGAGTAAAGCAGAGCAAAATAATATAACATAGTATACCATATTTTTGTATCTAACTTGGTACAATATAAGTACCCAATTAAAACACCACCAAGGCAGAAATCTGCTCTACTCACCTAAGCTAAAAGATTGATCAGGGTGAAATATCTTTTTATTTGCCTTCTAGTTACACTTGGTTTAGCTTTAAGTCCTAAATGAGTACTCAACAAAGAAGTTAACTTCACCAAGACTTACCGGAGTGTAACTATGCACACTTCCAACACTGTTCAAATTAACAGATGCCAAACTCTGATCTGAGAGACTGTTGTTAAGGCTACTGCGTGGGCTATCACTACCATCCTGATCAGTGTTGTACAATGTTACCTGGAATATAAAGAAGAGTAACATTTGAATAAATAGTTACTACAATTAGAGTACTTTTTAAGCAACTCCACAAAATACAATTAAACTGTATATGTGGCAGGGAGACAAAATGTTAGTGATATTTCCTTTGGTGTTACCTACCCTCAATTCCAAGCCCTTTATCACTAACTCCATTCACCATGAAATGATTTATTTCAAACTAAAGTATATGTCCCATCCAGAGGTACATAAATTCAATTTACTATCAGGTTTAATAAGTTATCAACATTTAATAACAGAAGATTATAGATTTTTACTGTCAAGTATTTCTAAAACACATAAATTTATCCTTACTCAAACCTTCAGCAAAACTACTATTCTCTTCTATTAAAATCTTAGGCATCAAAAAAAAGAACATAAAAGATAGAACTTTAAAAACAAAAATCATAGGCACCATAGTGTTTATAATATTGAAAATTGGAAATTTGATCATCTGACACATTTGCAGAATCACAGATACGTAATGTAATTTTTTAAAATAACAAGAGGCTAATACATACATTATATGTGAAGGACTATAAATCAAACTATTAACAATGGTTAACTGGAAGGGGGCTAGATATTCCTGAGGATTTTCAGCACTGATAATATCTATTTTTACTGTGCTCAAGTCTGTTTATAACAAGCACTGTAATTTTTAATTAGAAAATAAACAAAGACTTTTAAAACAGGAAACTAGCCTAACTATGCTTCAGGGTTTATTCAGATGTCACTACTAACTTTACTTTCTTTACTCCTACTTCCAGGGGCACAATTAATACATGTGGCTTTATGTACTGTCTAATTGTTATCAAATTTTTATCTACTACTAGACTATTAGCTTGAGTCCCCAATTAATCGTAAGAAGCACAGTATTTTCTGTTCAGTGTATTAATACTTACTGAATTTAATAACCAACTGAGCTAGTATTAGCCTTCTGTCTGTGCTGAAAATGGGGTCATGCTTAATGCTCACAAACATTTGCCAAAAAAAGCCAAATATGTGGCAAACTAGGCACATATGCCTCTATACTTTAGAGAAAACCAAACTGTCCCACATTCACATCAGCTAAGAACAATTATACATCTAGGAACTAATAAGGCAACAGTAGAAGAAGATAAGAGATAAAGAAAATTCTGGCAAAGATTTTTCTGATAAATACCTCCAATGGAAATTTCATTAAAAAAATAAACCTTATGGGCTTCTAGGAATAATCAATCAAAACTGAAGATACAAGAATGGTTAATAATGGGTACCAGGATATCCTAACCTTTGGAGTCTGTAGAGTACCCATCTCAGCTATGGCTAAAAACAAGTTGACATACACACCCACACCCTCAAAGCTCTTTTACCAAGGATGGTAAAATATCATCCAATACAGCTTTGCTAAATACCCTTTTTTTGTATTGCAATTACTTTTCACTTGACACAGAACAGATGGAGTAAAGCAGACCAAAATAATATAACATAGTATACCATATTTTTGTATCTAACGTGGTATAATATAAGTACCCAATTAAAACACCATCAAGGCAGAAATCTGCTCTACTCACCTAAGCTAAAGATTGATCAGGGTGAAATATTTTTTTATTTGCCTTATAATTAACATATTACAAGCACCCTATGGTCATTTTATTGGCATGTGTAACATTTTATATTACATATAATGCTCATTCTTTTCTATCCATGCTGTTACCTGTCACACAAGTCAGAAATACTCTCCATCATCTTTGACAAATCCTCATAGCTTATTTTATTTGGAAGGAAGCTAAACATCTTTATTAAAATGTAATACATAGAGTTAAGTGCACAAATTACTAGTTTATTACAAAATGGGTGTACTTGTGTAAGCATCACCCAGATCAAAGTACAGAAACTATCTGAAACCTGACATATGACAAATAAATTTCTTATACTCTGTTACATTAAAACCTACCATTTTGTACACTGAATGGATCATTCATCCATGCATAATTTTGTTAACAGTATGCATGGGTCTTTTGGAAAATACTGGACCACTAAAAGTTACAGAGATCTTCCAAATATTGACACTTTTCATTATACAACATCAAAACATCACATGTGTTAACATCACCAACATAAAGAGTGGGAAGTTATCAGACTTGCTGTGGTGAATTTAAGTTTTCCAAACTTTACTTTTGCTTAAAAGCTCAACTTTTATTATTGGCAAGAGATACTGTCAACTGTTTTCCTTGAAATTACAGTTACTTTGTTCATTTTCACTAACATCTGCCAAACAGCCAAATCTGAATAGCACTGTCAGTTGTTCTTTGAAGTAAAAACAATAAGCTATGAACAAAGCTGCTAGTTTAACATCCAACTCAATCACACAAGTGCTCTTTCTTGAAGGAACTACTATATAATCAATATTTAGTGTGTTTTATGCATATGTCCCATTTCATCACATAGAATATTAAAAAGACACATACTGAGAGGTCACAACTTAATAAAACTATTTCTCCTGCTTCACTAGTATTTTTTTTTAAATCTGAAGGGTGTGTATCAGTGAATACAAGGACTACTAGTACAGTTCAGTGTCTCTGCCTTGATTTGTGCTAATATATACCACTAATTTTGCTGCATCAGTGAAAATACAAAAATGAAGGAGAGACAAATAATGTTTTAGTGTTATCATGGTTTTGATCTTGTGAAATCCCTAAAAAGGTCTTGGTTACCCAGGCTTCCACAAACCATAGAACTGCTCATACAGAACATTACCAGCGTTCCAGAAGGCCTGCTCATGCACTGTGCCAATCATTCACCATCAGTCTCTCCATCCCCACTTTCTGTAGTCACTCTACACACTTCTACCACTATTGATTGATTTTCCTATTTTTCTAATTTCCTATTTTCCTCTTTTAAGTATAAATGGAATCATACAATATGTATCCTTTTCTGTCCCTTTCCAGTAAATTTAGCTAAAGGATTACACAAAACTTTGTTTTCTATCACATTATCTGCTCTTAATCTTTACTACTTAATTCCACTTCTTAAAATTCACTCATTTATATTTATGTCTAGGATCCATCTGGAATTTTTGTAAATGGAAAATCTGTTTTCCACTAAAATCTAGCACCATCTGCTGAAAAACATCACTGAATTCTGATTTATAAGTCTGTCTATTCTTATGCCAACACCTCACTTTCAATTAATGTAGGTTACTCTTGATATGCAGAAGTATAAATCCTCTCTTATTTTTTCTTCAGTATCTTCTTAAACTACTAAGTCATTTGGATTTCCATTTATATCTTAAGATCAGCTGTCATTTTCTACTTCCTTTCCTCCCTCCCTCCCAAAAAACATCATGAATTTTGATTGGGATCATATTAAATCTGTAGATCAATTTAGCAAACACTGACTTCTTTACAACAATCTTCTGTATGAAAATTATATATCCATCTATTTGTATCTTCTTCATTTCTGAGAATTTTTTAAAGTTTTCCGTGTAGTTTATCTTTCATTTAATTCTAGGTATATGATATTTTTGAATGCTGACATGTTGTCTTTTCATTTTCTCATTTTCCATGGCCAGTATATACAGAAATACAATTGATTTCTCAAGTCAAGCATTGTTCTTACAACAAGACCTTGATAAACTCACTTATTAATTCTAACAGTTGATCTGTAGATTCCTTTGAATTTGCCCTATAAATAATCATGTCATCTGTGAATAATAACTTTATTACTGACTACCCAAACTTTATGCTTTTTTCTTTCATAACACTTCTATTTCTCCTCTCCCTGCCTGAAGACTATTATTGCCATGTATTCTACTTCTACATGTCACAAACCCAAAACCCATTTCTGTTATTTCTGCATTAAATAGTTTATTATCTTTGAAAGAGATCTAATTTTAAAAAAAAAACTTCTTGTCTACCCACAAAGTTACCATTTCTGGTGTCCTTAATTCCTTTGTGTAGATCCACATTTCCATCAGGAACTTCAATTACACATAATTAGGTTGCTTGATGCTGTCCCCAGATCACTAATGCTCAACTGACTTTTTTACGGTCTTTTCTCTATGTGTTTCATTTTGGATGACTTTTATTGCTATTATCTTCAATTCACTGATCTTTCCTTCTACAATGTCTAGTCTGATGTTAACCCCATCCACTGTATTTTTGAACTCAGATGTTCTAATTTTTATATCTAAGGATAAAATATCCTAGAGAGATAAAATCTGGGTTTTCTAAATATCTTCCATGTGTCTACACATGTTTAACCTGTCCTTTAGCTTCTTCATTAATACAGTTATAAAATGGGCTTTTTTCCAGCTTACTGAGATATAACTGACATACCACGTGTAAAATTTAGGCTGTAAAATGTGTTTATTTGATACATTTATATACTGCAAAATGATTACCACCTTAGCATTAACTTCATAATCTTCATCACCTCACATACAATTATTATTTTTTTTGTACTGTGAATATTAAAGATCTATTCTCCTGGCAAAATTCCATGTATATAATACAGTGTCACTAACTATAATTACCATGTTGTACTAATTTAGATCCCAAAACTTAATAATCTTATAACCAAAAGTCTGTACCCTTTGATCATCATCTCTCTATTTCCCCACCCCTTAGTCTGTGGTAATCAACATTATATTCTGTTTCTAGGAGTTTGGCTTTTTAGATTCCACATATAAGTGATATCATACAGTATTTGTCTTTCTCTGCCTGCCTTATTCACTTATAATAATGTCCTCACAGCCCATCCATATTGTCACAAATGGCAGGATTTCCTTCTTCCTCATGGCTGAATAATCCATTGTGTGTATGTGTGTGCGTGTATATACACACTTTCATTATTGTCCATACATTTGCTGATGACACAGGATGTTTCCTTGTCTTGGCTTATGGTGATTGTTTAAATGTCTTTTTCTAGTAATGGATTGTTCTTTACTGTTTCTTTGCCTGCCTGGTAATTTTTTACTGGATGTCAGACCACTGTGGATTTTACATTATTAAGTGAGTATTTTTGTATTCCTATAAATGTTCTGAAGCTTTATTCTGGGATACAGTTAATTTATTTGACAACAGGAATGAAATACTGATACATGCTGTAACAAGGATGACCCTTGAAAGCATGTTTAAAGAGGTCAGACATAAAAGGTCACACAGTATACGATTCCATTTATATGAAATGTCCAGAATAGGCAAATCTGTAGAGGGAGAAAGTAGATTAATGATTACCAGGAGATGGAGGGAATGGAGAATGAATGCTAAGGGTATGGGGCTTTCTTTTGGGGGTGAAAAATGCTCTGGAATTAGATGGTGACTGACAGCTGCACAACCTTGTGAGTATTCTAAAAACCATTGAATTGTAAACTTTAAAGGGGTGAGTTTTATAGTCTCTGAATTACATTTCAAAAAATTTAAATTAAAAAGTCAAATCACTTGAAAATAATTTAATTCTTTTGGATTTTGCTTTTAAGGTACATATGTAGAACCACATGATTTTAGTCTAGGGCTAATTCCAAAAGCCTAAGTACTTTACCTAATTACCTGTGAATTATTAAGTATTTCACTGTGATAGGAATAACTATGTGTGGCCCTATAAAAGTCTCAGTGACTGCCCAATCAATCTTTTCAGGTGATTCTTTCCCTAGTTGTAGCTCCCTCAACTCACACACTGACAAGTGCCCCATTGAAGGTTTCTCCTGTGGAACCTTAGTGACAAGTTTATTAAACCTTTCCCCAATACCCCATTCATCTCTTCAGCTTTCTGAATTTTCCATCCTTTTTTGTCTTGTATTTCAATCTGCATTATTATCTACTGACCCATTTTCCAGTTCATTAGTTCTTTCCTCTGATTTATCTAATCTACTGTTAAACCCATCTATTGAATCTTGAATTTCTGTTCTAGTTTATTATTTTTCAGTTCCAGTTTCCTCTTGATTCTTCCAAACACACACCAAGTCTGATAAATTTTCTATAATTCTTCTATTTTCTTGAACACAGTACTCATAGTTATTTTTAATCAATATTTAGATCACTTGTGGTTATGTTTTATACTGCTTCCCACCCCGCCACATACACACATACACACACCACCCCTTGGTATTTAATTATTTGGTCCTGTTTCCTGGAATGACTTAAAATTGTCACTTAAGGTGAGACTTTACTTACAAAAATTTGCAAAAGCTCAAGATGCTGTTATTTTTTTCCACAAAGGATTTAGTTTTCTTTTGGCAAGCAGAAGAAAATTAGCATACCACCCTAATAACAAGTTGAGGCTGGTCTATTTTGGTTTGCCCTTACTCATGGAACATAACCCTTTCGAGGTATCAACTTGAAAGACTTGGGGTGTTTATCATGGCTCCCTTCTCCTAGAGGATCATGAACTATAATTTTTGTCACCCCTTTTATGTGAGACTGCTGAATTCTGGCTAGTGAAAAAGCCACTTGATTTGTCTGTCTAAGCCCAAGCACACGTGAGTTAGGGGTTAGCAATGCCTTAAATGAACATTACTTGCAAAAAGTTGAATTCACTTCTAAAATTCCTCAAGTTCTTAGTCCTCAAGCCCTGGCTGTTTGGTAGACCCCACCTTTAGTTTTGGTCTCTTGAGCTCAATTAACTGCTATGTCCTGCTGTTTTCTTTTCAGCCTCTCTGTCATGCACTAATATTTGGGAAATGTACCAAGGAAGTATATCTACAGGGCTTTATCTCAATCTATTTCCCTTTTTTCTGGGCTCTTTGCCCTTGCAGACCTGGCAATCTTCTTCTCTTATACCACCCCCATTTTTTACTGGTGTGAGGTTGGTGGAATTTTACATACATAGGGAGAAAGGTAAATCTGAAACTAGCTATTCCACTGGATCTGGAAACAAAAGTTCAAAAACTCCAGTTCCTTTGACCCCCACATTATTCAGTCATGAAGTCCCAGCATTAACTGTTCCCTAATAGCTACAACTGTCTATGTTTAGGCCTCAGTATCTCCTACTTGGACTACTGCAAAGATGAGTATTGAGTATTTCTGATTCCAACCCATCTGCTTCACCAGAAATTCTCAAGTCTAGGTGGACACCATTAGGGATGACTTTTAAAGTACAGATTTTTGGGTCCTATCCATAAAGATAAAGTAACTCATTTGGTAGGCCTGCAATAGAATCTGGAAATCCAATTAGTTTCTCTGATTATAATCTGTCTTCTGTTTATTCATTATCTTTCCACAAATGAAAATATACAATGTTAGTACAACTGTGTATGTGTTTGTGTTTCTGTATATGCATACGAAAGAAGGAGAGAGACAGATAGCACAAGAGCAAATAAAAGCAAGGGAGAGAGAAAGTGGGAGGGTGAAAGCAAGAGTGAAAAAGAGTATGAGAAATGTATGGCTTCAAGATGCCCATGGTCTACTATGAAAGGAAACAGATGCATAGAACTGAGTTACTTCACGAACCTCCCAGAGTCTTTCTGGGTTTTGAGATTTGAGATTAAGAAATTATCTTGTAAAAAAGAGACATCTGTATCCCACTATATTATCTAAACAGTTGGTACAAAGTTTTGACCCTTACTTAAAAAAAAAAAAAAAAAAAGCCAGCAGACTATTATATACTATTTCTCAGTACATACCTAGACTTGAATATCATGAAACAGGTTGACCATCATTTCAATGAACTCTATGAATCTGTCCAAATTATTTCTTTTACCTGATTCTGTTGATTCTCTGGGAGTATGAAAATCTTTTTTTACAATCACATACTTAGAAGGATAATCAGTGATTCTACAACAAATTGATTCAGTAAAATGTTGGCCAAAAATTCTATCAATGGGAACTGGCAATGTCAAGAATCTAAGTTAATATAGAGCTTCCCGATAAGTATTTTCCAATTTCTTCAGAGAAATGTTTTCTTTTAACTTGGGCATTCCTACAAACATTACAGATTCAGCTTTCAACAGGCTACCATTTATGGATTAGCCAAATTTGTATCACCTTTAAATTCAACCACATAGAACTCTCTTGCTTATTATAAGGCAAATTAAATGTCTTACTCAGTAACATTTCAAAGTGTTAAAAAATGGAATTACTTTGTTAGTCACAGTGTTGATTGCCAGAGTTGGAGAGGCACTTCCCGAAATAATACACTCCATTCCCAAAGAATCTGAATCTATGCTATATGGAGTTGAGGCCTAAAATACAAGAACAAAATAAATAATTATTAACTCATATATCCAACAACTTGAACACCATTTGAAGGTATTTCATCAAATTCTCCAACATCTAGCTTTGTGCTTTGTCTCTGATAATGAACTTAAATCACTACTGAAATCTCTTCTACTATATTTTAATATGCTAATAAACTGCTATCACAAAGTCCACTGGTATGGCTACTCTTTACCAACTCTTTTAATTGGTTGTGGGACAGATTAGCAAACATTACAGATAAACTTCTGCAATGGAGACTGCTAAAGATCCCCTAATATTCATTCTCCCCTCTTCTTCCTTTTAGTAATAGAACTCTGTAGTATCAACTCATGGCTTTCCAGCTAAAGACTACTGTTCCAGACTTATTTGCAGCTAGTTATGGCCAAGTGGCAAATGGGATGTGAGCAGTGATATGTGAAACTTCAAGGTCATGTCTTTGAAAGGAATTTGTTTGCCCTCCATTCCCTCTTTTTTTCTTTTTACACACTAGGACACAGATTTGGTGGTGGTTATCCTGCTTAATCATAAAGCTGAGGATAATACCCTGGGGAATACTACTGGCAAGACAAGATTAGAAGGAATGTGGACATCTGAATGACCTTGCGGAACAGAGCTGGTTAGCCAGCTGATCCAGGTATCAGCTCAGACTTTCACCAGTGAGAGAAATAAATCTCTCTGGTTTAACTCTCAGTTGTTTTATTTTTGCTCCTTTCTTAGTACAACTGAACAATATCCTTAATAACACCACTTCATATGCAGTTTTTATAGGGCTAACATGAGTGTCAAAATCAATATAGAAGGTATTCTACATTTAGAATTTTGGATGTAGAGGTCAAGATTCAAGGTGAGAGGTGAGACAGAGAACTCCTCCCAAAACCACAAATAGTACAAAAATATAGTTAATTAATACAACTAACCCTAAAACAGCAACAAGAAAGAAGGCTGAACCAGACTGCATACAGACCTCAGGAACAGAGGAGACCTCAGGAAACAGAGTAACGTAGGAAAGCCTTAATCCAGTGGGACCCAAGCCCTTCCCCTACCCCAGCTCACCAGCGGAAGGAAGAGAAACGGAGCGGGGGTGGCGGTGGAGGCCTGGGACTGCTGAACACCCGGTCCTGGAGGTATGCTTTGGGAGTAGAAACCTACACTGTGTGGTGCTCTGGGGGTTGGGGAACTGGGACAGGCAGAGTGCTTGAGAGACTGAGATTACGGCCGTTTGCGGAGGACGGGGTTCCACATCCAGCCACTCTGTCAGAGGAAAAGCAGGCGGTCTGAGAGGCTTCCTAGCAGCGAGAGGGCTGCTGAAGGGGCAGGGTTTGCACAGAGATTGCTGCGCGGGGGAGGGGAGAGCTGGACAAGGTTGTCTGGGCACACTTGGCCCAGCTGGTTGGTAACTTTGAGGAGCTTCAGGCGCTCCATCCCCCTGGCTGCCTACTCAGCTCCGGGGGCCCCACTGTGACACGCAGTCTGCTGCGCCTTCCTCCTGTCCTGCCGGCACCTGTTCATAAACTGGCTGTCACTGTGCTGGTGTCAGGCCATCTAGAGGGAGGCCCCGCCTACAACAGCTAGAGACACCAAGCACAGAGCGTTACACCTGTGTGCTTGGCCTACTGGTTCTGACACTGGAGACAGTCAGGGCAGGCGGGAATCAGGAAACAGATCTTTCCTCCCACCAGGCACCAGCTCCGCTCTCCTACGACCTCCAACCTCACTCTAGGGGCTGAGCAGCTCCAGAGACTAGAGCTTCTGGGCACTAGAGGGCACCACATAGAATTATGAAACGTCAAGGGAACCTGGTGCAGACCAAAATCTCATAAACCCCAGAAAAGCCAAATGAAACTGAACTCACCAATCTTCCTGAGAGTTCAAAATAAAAATCATAAGCATGCTTATGGAGGTACAGAAAAATATTCAAAAACTCAGGAATGAATTTAAGATGGAGATTCAATCATTAAGAAATTCCATATCTGAAATGAAACATACAATGGAGGGATTTAAAAGCAGATTAGATGTAGTAGAAGAGATGGTAAATGGAACAGAAATTAGAGAAGAGGAATATAAAGAAGCTGAGCACAGAGAGAAAAAAGAATCTCTAAGAAAGAAAGAAAGAATATTGAGAGAACTGTGTAACCAATCCAAACAGAACAATATTCACATTACAGGGGTACCAGAAGAAGACAAGAGAGAAAAAGGGATAGAAAGTGTCATTGAGAAGGTAATTGCTGAAAACTTCCCCAATCTGGGGAAGAAGACAGTCTCTCAAGCCACGGAGATTCACAGATCTCCCAACACAAGGGACCCAAGGAAGACAACATCAAGACATACAATAATTAAAATGGCAAAGATCAAGGATAAAGACAGACTTTTAAAAGCAGCTAGAGAGAGAAAAAAGATCATATACAAAGGAAAGCCCATCAGGCTAACATCAGACTTCTCAACAGAAACCTTACAGGTCAGAAGGGAGTGGCATGATATATTTAATGCAATGAAGCAGAAGGGCCTTGAATCAAGAATATTCTACCTGGCAAGGTTTCATTTAAATGTGAAGGAGGGATTAAACAATTTTCAGATAAGCAAAAGCTGAGAGAATTTACCTTCCACAAACCACCTCAACAGTGCATTTTGGAGAGACTCCTATAGATAGAAGTATTCCTAAGCCTAAACAGATGTCACCCAAGGGACAGACAGAGTACAGAATATAATTCATAACATACAAACAAAGGAGGAGGAAGAAAAAGGAGGAATAAAAAAAAAAAGAACCTTTAGGTTGTGTTTGTAATAGTATATGAAGTTGAGTTAAATTAGACTGTTAGATAGTAAGGGAATTACCCTTGAACCTTTGGTAACCATGAATCTAAAGCCTGCAATGGCAGTAAGTACATACCTATTGATAATCACCCTAAATGTAAATGGTCTCAATGCACCAATCAAAAGACATAAGAGTTACTGAATGGATAAAAAAAAACCAAGACCCATCTATATGCTGCCTACAAAAGACTCACTTCAAACCCAAAGACATAGACTGAAAGCAGAATTTGGATGTAGACTGTGCCAACTCCTCTCGCTCTCATAAGTGATGGCTTTTATTGCTTTGATGAACCCTCAAGAGAGTTCAACTTCAATAATGAAAGTTAAAGAAGGACAGACATAGTTTGTGGGTATGATGCTACTCCTGCTAAGTATTACCACCTCTCTGGCAAAATGTATTTGTCCCACACATGATCCCAACTGAATATGAATTTTTAAAGATCATACTGGATGAGAAAGAGAACAATTTCACTGAGACACAGTTCTGGGATTAATCTATTTATTACTTAATCCCTTGGCAAGAATTTCTTTCATCAGATAATCTATGAAGGTAGGGAACAGGCATCTTGATTGAAATGGGAAAAAAAGGACAAGGGTAAACCACTAGAAGGTAGGATCTAGCACTTGGGCACTGGATATACAGTGAGAGTGAGGTGAAATAAAAAGGGCTTCAGAAATAAAAGTGGGAAGAAATAGAAAGACAATTTTGACTATACCTCAATTTTGGTGCCAGCCACCTTAGCTACCCCAAAATTAACACAGAAGATTACTTTAGAAAACTGCAAATCTCATGTTCCTCTAACTCAACTCAGTAGTCTTCAGTCCAAACTAGTGGTTCACTATTTAATTCTTACTCCTCCCCCTGGTAAAGGAAGGCTGTGTTGTGTGATTTCATGCAAATTACTCAAAACTTCGTGCTCTTTTCCTCATCCATAAGAAGAACACTATGACATTTACTTTAGAAGTCTGGTAAAAGCATTAATGAAATGACTTAACATAAAAGAGAATAAATGCTAGCTGCTTGATGGCTACTAGAACGTACATATGCTACCAATGCTGAGGATCTGCTGATACAAAGGACTGTTCAATCTTGACCGAGAAAGGAAACAGCTTTGGTACAAGGCTGTCTTCCCACAAAACCAGATTCATGGCTTCAGCTATTATAAATTAGACGTAAATTTTTTAGATCTTGTAATTAAATATTCCTCATGGATTCTTCAGTCTGGTTCAGTCAAGAGAATAAAAGACACTCTCTTTACATGCTTTGATCTGCTCTGCAATATGGTATGTATTTTTATTTGTAGGTGTACTCACTCTATGTTAGTAACAAACAACAAGAGTATCTGATTAGTAAAGCCAAAGGATCTAGGTATCCTAAAATGTATTTGGATAACTATTATTGCAGCCAAAACCCAAATTCTGGACAAAGGATTCTACTCTATGTGGCACCAATCAGCTTGTGAAAGGTCCTTTCTGTAGCCTCCTCTTTATACCCTGCCCCACATCAAAATCCTACCCATTCCAGTTCCCATTTCCAGTATGGTAGCATGATTGCCTCACAGACCAATCTCCTTCTGCTCATAACTACAAATGTGGGCCAGGGCAGGGAGTGCAGACACACAATGACAGCTAACAGAAGATGAAGATTCTCAAGAGAAATAAAACAGGCAGACTGTGGAGAGAAGTGAAAACTTTGAGAGACCTGTTTTATTGCAGCTTTGCCTCAAGGTTGGGCAGGACATGTAAAGTGTGAACAGCTAAAGCTGACTTTCTGCCAGGAGGAACTAGAGAAAAGAGCCTAAGCAAACACAGCCAGCTACCAGAGAGAGAAGGGAATCCCATGGGGAGGTAATTCAAAGGGCTTCCCTAACACTGCGGATGAAACACCACAAAAGTCTCAAGCTGAGCCCTGAACCATGCACATGCAGATTAGAATAAAGCACAACCTTAAAGAATCAAATGAAATTGGATCACTGTCCACAAAAGGTGAGAGATAACTTACAGTCTGAGTTTACATAGTTAACTGCAGCTAACACAAAAATACCATTATTCTACAGAAGACTACAGTAGAACCCAGAGGCTATATAATGTAACATTCACAATGTCCAAGATACAATCCAAAACTACATGACATACAAGTAACAGGAAAATGTAACCTATTTTCAAGAGAAAA